CTCTCTCTCTCTCTCTCTCTCTCTCTCTCTCTCTCTCTCTCTCTCTCTCTCTGAGCTAAGCTAGGATGGCTACTGCCAGCCCTCAGCTTCATCTATTGTCTGAATGCACAAGACCACGGTAGTGCTTCCATGACAGTCACAAAGGCATAATGTGTTGACATCCTGTTGCTCCCTGCTTTTGTACTTGCTGCAGTGCCCAAGTTTGCATCTTTCCGGACTGGTACCTTATGCCATCCGGCCGTGGTCAGCCTCCAGCGCACCTGGAGTTTTCATGGACTTTCCCAGGACTGAGCTGCATGGATTCCCAGACGGACTCCTACGGACAGTTGATGAACTAGACCTTCTAGACCTCTATCTTACAGGCTTACGGTATGGCCTACTGACTAAGGTACGGACGGCCTATGACAGCAAGCAGCTGGGGGACCATGTTCCACAAGACTTTGGTATTTGGAACTGGACTTGGGACTCCGAGAAACCAACACTTTTTTACCTGTCTGGAATGTGGATTCCCTTCTGGCTTGTTCATGGTGAGCGACTTGCAGTCTTGCTCAATTGGTCCTTGGTGAGCCATCTATTCTTTTATGGATCCCGGGAGTGCGATCTCACTCTGAATTGTTGCTGAGGTCGCCCTTCAGGTTCTCAGTGTCTCTTGATTAGCTATTTCGTCCATGTCATAACTCCCATCCATATCAGGTGGGGTCACTGATCTCCATGAGGGAAAGGAGTTGTCTAAGTTGACAGGCAGCAACTTGGATGCATTGAATACGGGTTAGGTTTGTGGGTGTGGAGGGACGTCAATAATGTAGGATGGATCATGGGCAGAATTCCCAAGGTCCTCTATGCACAGGTAGCAGTTTCCGAGAAATCTCTTCTTCTGGTACAAACTAGTTAGACTTGACGCCAGACTTGGTTGTCAACAGTGAACTGTGATGGTCGCTGATGTTTGTTGGCTTGTTCTACCATCTTCTCTTGGGCATGTGTAATGTTGTCCTTGAGTTTTTGCGTTGGTCAGAGAAGCAGTGTGCATTTGCGTGCTGATTACGGTGTCTACCAACACGCGTATTGCAGTCGTCATTCCTACATCTTCTAGAATCTGTTGCCCAGACCTGGACTTGTGAAGAGCGATCAGGTCCTCGCCTACGCCGGCAATAGGACCGCTCTAAGAGGCCCAGTTGAAAACCACTTCTACTCTATAAGAAGCAGTCTTTGAGCAACTATTTGAGCGGGTGGCTGCTTCAGCCCCTGCCATTTTTCCCGGTGAGAGGGAAGGGGAATATATTGCATGTGCGACTTCCTCTCCAGCGAAATTAACCCCTGTGGAGCAGCTGAGACTTCGACTGGCCGTTCCCTTTTCTTGCTGCCACTTTGGGCAATAGGGAATCATATTGCCAACTTCCCAGTCGTGTTGGCTTGTTCCCATAGCGATGGTGGCTCAGCTTGTGCGGCTTTGTAAGCATGTCACTTTGTGTTCGAAGTTGGCAATGACGTCTGGTGTAGTAGCTTGAAGCTCTGCACGGATCAGCAAACTGGGTGCACCAGGGTGACAATAGGAAAAATCGTATCTTGTACTGTGTTGACTTCCTCCTGTTGTGCTGGTCTGTGATGATGCGGGGAACTGCCTGAAAATCATCCTTGTGAGGATGGATTATCAAACAGCAAAAGAAAGGAATGCTGCTTGACTGACATGAAAGGAGCAAACTTAGAATCATGAAGATCGGATGTATGCACAGTTGAGCTGGCACATGGATAGCAAAGGGTAGGCAGTGAGGCTGATTGTGGGCTAGAGACAATCCGCCAAGGTCCAAGCTACTTGGGGAGGTGAGATGTCTTGCTTTAAATCACCGGTACACGCCATGCATCGACCGCGGGCTGCTTTCAGAGGCCGGAACGCCACAGAGGCCCGCCGATTGCCCTAACTTTTTCGGATGGGCGACGAGTTTTGTTTCAGCAAGGCTGGGGCCATGTACTGGTGGTTTAAACCTAACTCCTCAGCGGAGTCCCAAATTAGGTACACTTCCCGAATAGGACTGATGCCTGTTGTCCTGGTGCTGCATACTGTGCCGTGCCTTATGCATTTTGTCTCGGGCCTTGTGAAGCAGGTCGCACAGCCTGCACTGAAATGTGGACTAGCCGACACCATTGGTCTTTACCCAAATGAGGAATGAAGGTATTTGTGGGGAAGTCTGCAGGCTCTCTGTACTCGAGCTTGAATGGAGACATGCTGGTGGCTGTATAAAGTGGGGTTTTGTATGCGAACTCAACATCTGGAAACCGCTGAGCCGAATCCTTCCAATATAGGCGGATCAACACACGAAGCATGGTCTGCCCCATTTGATGTGCTCTCTCTGTCTGACCGTTAGTCTGAGGATGGAGGGCAGAATCTGGCTTGAAGGTAGATTTCGTACACTTCACTACAGCAGTCCAAAAGTGAGACACAGGCTGAGTGTCGATCATAACCAAAATCAGAATAGGCAATAATCTCCGAAAACAAAAGAAATCCTCAAACAGGAAAAACAGACTCCAGACGGCCAGAATTGTGCAAACCAAAGCCCAAAATAAATAAAATAATGTCTATGGCGCGAAGGCAGCCCAAAAATGTGCGTTGCAATGGCCTCACAGCACTGTGGTCCAAAGCGGGCCCCTTTGGTGAGTGTGGGAGTTCTACACATGCCATATTGCGCTTGCGTTGCTGAAAATTTCAGGAGATAGCAGTGGTGGGTGACCATTATTTCAGGTATGCACAGGGCATCTGCCCGTGCAGAACAAGTCCAGGGGTTGTAGCTTTTGGCCAAGTTAAAGTTCTTGGGTCAAAAGTCAGCTCTACCAACTTTGAAGAGGAGGCAGAGGGTCCATAGGTTAGTAGGCCTGGGGTCGATGGTCAGAAGGAGGTGTGAAGCCCTCAAGAAGCAAAAGTACGCCCTAGGAAAGTCAACAGTGATTGCCCAGCCAGGGTGCAGAAGTCAACCATGACCACAGTTCATGCACACATTCAAAGGCTCATTGGAGTTTCAAGAACTTTCCATGGCCCATTGGGCCCACACACACACTAGCTGCAAGCATATCTTGGCCGGACAAATTGGAAAATCTCAGCCCTTTGAGGTGGCAGGTCCACACTATGACACGGGCCTGCTGCAGCTTGCTGTTCATTCTGCCATGTGCTTCTTTAAGGCTGATGCCACATCCTAATAACGGAGGTTCGAGGGGCAACCATATCCTGTTTTGTGTGTACGTGAGTGTGTATGTGGGTTCATGAACATACCTGGTGGTAAACGCTCTTGGAGAGAGATTGTTTGTCTCAACACTACTAAAATAGTCTATCAGATTCTTGTAATGACCTGACCAAACACGGACTGAGACACACAGCTGATTTCTAAGTTTTGCTCATGGAATGAATGGCTTGCTGAGTTTCCCGCTTGTTACTGAGTTCTCTAAGTCTGTGTGTGTGCATGCTTGCTGGTCTGCATGCCTGTCTGAGTGCTTGTGTGACCTGCAAGGGCACTTGTTCGTTCAGTGGGCCGGAAGGGTCGGTACTTACCTGTGGCCGTGACATTGAGGATTGCAGCGGGGGAAAACACTCAAATGGCGGGGAAAGAGGCCCGCAACACTTGAAGCAGCGGAAAACACTCTCAAGTAGCAGGTAGGCCAGTACCACACCAGGTAGAGGTAGATGTGCCGGGTACTCGAGGCCGAGCAGAAGAAGACAGAAGTTGGCATTTTTAGAGGCCCAGTAGTTGTAGGCTAGGTCAAGACGGTACCAGTCCAACCAGTTTGAGTCTAGGGCCTGTATGGGCAATATCAGAGTCTGCAATGATGTTTCCCCCCGAAGGGGAGGAGGTACATGTTGCTTGGAGGCCGCGCGGCCAAGAGGCAAGCAGGCAGCTATATCTCCATGAGGATCCAGTTTCTCCTCATTGTTGGTGTGCAAGTTTGGCGACGCACTGGTTGGAGCCATGGCCATGGTGGACCTCAAGTGATACCTGCAGTGGGGGGGCGGCCATGGCCATGGTGGACCTCAAGTGATACCTGCAGTAGAAGAGGGAATCGGACAATTATGCTGGATCAGCGGTTATTACTCTTGTTTGAATAAGAGGGGAGAATATAAGGAGGACGAGAGTGGTTGGCGAAGAAGAGCATTATCATTGGTCTATGCTGGTGTACATCATCTTCTTCTTCTTTCTTTCTTCTTCTTCTTCTTCTTCTTCTTCTTCTTACCCTCTCTCTCTCTTTAAGTTCATTCATTTCTTTTTGTAATTGGACAGCATAATGTACTTCGAAATTGGCCAGGATCATAACATTGGTATCAGAGCGGATTCTACTTGCTGGTGAGAGTTGACTTATCCACCCTAACCCTTACCTAAGTGGTTAGGGCTGACCACTTAGCGTTAGGGTTGGTCTGAAGTGGGAAGTGGGTCAGCGTGGGTTAGGGAAGCTGCCCCCACCTGGTTAGGTCATGTTGGGTCGATACTGAACCTTACCAGGTTGATTGAGAGTGAGTATGTGGTGGCCAGGCACAGCAAGAGGACTTCATGCGACAAGTTGAGAGAGGCGACAGTGAGAGGCACTCACACTTGGAATCTGGCCTAAGGAAGACACTTGGTGACTTGAGGGCCTCCCTCGATCTTGAGGGAGGTAGCCATTCTGTATCTACGACCTGCAAGTTGCTACTTTGTTCTTCAGCATCGGCGGGGGATCTGGCATTGCACTTTGGTGTTGGAGTCAGACCCTTCTACATGATAGGACACTAGTGTAGAGTCAGAAACTTCTACATGATAAGTAACTGTGGTGCTCACCCCCCTTCCTAGTCCTTTTCTTCCTCCTGTCTTGCTCCTTCCCCAGCAGCGCTGCTCCGATGCTAGGGCTGCTCCAGCCAGTGTTCCAACCGGTGTGTCGCCAAAACTTCCACACCAAGAATGAGGAGCACTTCGCTCCTCCTGGAGATATAGCGGCCTGCTTGCCTCTTGGGCGGCGACTTCCTAGTCCGCTTGGCCTCCAAGCCAGCGCTCCAACCAGTGTGTCACCGAACTTTCACACCAACAATGAGGAGGAGCAACTGGATCCTCATGGAGATATAGCGGCCTGCTTGCCTCTTGGCGAGTGACTTCCTAGGCCGCACGGCCTCCAAGCAACCTGTACCTCCTCTCTTGCGGAGGCAAACATCATTGCAGACTCTGATATTGCCCGTACAGGCCCTAGACTCAGACTGGTTGGACTGGTACCCGCCTAGACCTAGCCTACAACTACTGGGCCTCCAAAAATGCCGACTTTTTGTCTTCCTCTGCTCGTCCTCGAGTACCCGGCATGTCTACCAATACTTGGTGTGGTACCAGTCTACCTTCTAGTTGAGTGTTTTCAGCTGCTCTAAGTGTCGCGGGCCTCTTTCCCCGTCACTTAGTGTTTTCCCCGCTGCAACCCTCAATGTCATGGCCATAGGTAAGTACCGGCCCTTCGGGTCTCCCCCACAGTCAAGTACCCTTGCGGGTCACATGCACACTCAAACCGACAAGCACTCAGAACAGGCACACAGACCAGCAAACACACACACACTCAGACTCAGAAAACTCAGCAACAAGCGTGAAACTCAGGAAGGCATAAATTCCATGGGCAAAACTCAGAAATCAGCTGTGTGTCTCAGTCCGTGCTTGGCAGCTCCTAACAATCGAATCTTTTTGCTGTCTTTGGGGTATTGTCAATCATCGAGCGTTTTGAGTTCATGCCTGTTGCAGAATTGTGAGCTTGTCGGTGTTGGTTTCGTTATAGCATCTGCGTGTGTGCAGGAACACACCCACTGATGCGGTTTGGACATCAGTGAAGATCTCCTGGATGATGCAAGTTCTGTTGTGCTCATCACAAAAAGTGTTCATGGACGTGGTATCAAGTTGGATATGCGAGGGGGTTAAAGTGGAGCCGTTCCTTTTCTTAGCGCTGCCCCTATTGATCACCATCATTCCATCCATGATCTTCCTTCCTTGTCAAACCTTGTCCCCACATTCTCGATGTTTTCGCGTGTGTCTATCTTTGATTGTCGAAAGAGAAGGTGAGATGAGAGTGCGGATACGACTGTGAACTTTGCGGAACTGTTCTCATGCTGATTGATTGGTTATCTTGTTATTCAGAGCATATGGGGGAGGAAAAAAGTCTGTCTATCAACCCAGAATACAAACCATGGTACTTAATAAGACTGCCAAAAAGGATTGCGTAGTGAAATGTTTCATGCCCCTGTGACAGAAGATGAGTTAGTTGTACTCAAGCATTGACCACCGTGGAAATTGGGTTCATTTGATGTGGGAGTTGTGGCCAGAGGATGCTTTCTGTCAGTGGACTCCAGCTGCTTGTGTCCACTGGCCTCTATTGGGAGCTCGGCGGGCTGCCAAGACTAACACTTCAAGGACGGTATTGTTTTCTTTGGCTGACGTGTGCAGGTTTAAGTGCCTTACTGGTCGGCATGAGGCAGCCATTACACCAACAGATTACAAGTTTTTCTCAGAGAGGACGAAAACTCGGGCCGCCCGAACATGCATCCCAAACACTGCCATGGTTGCTAACATAGTACGGCATCAAGTGCAGTCACCTACGGTATGGGGTGAAATGACAGGCTTAGAAGGAGAGCCACCCTTCAAAAGGGGACCTTCATACTCATTGTGGACAGCTGACAAAGAGATAAGGGTGAGTATAGCTGCTAGCTTTCCCTGTGGAGCTTGGTTTCCCTGTTTTAGTGAGCCTGATTTGATTGAGATCTCGTTTGGTACACATTCAAATGGTTTTGTCTATCAACTATGACGATTTCTTATTGGATTATCTATCTTAGAGAGATGTAGTTTTCCACGTTCCGGGTATGGTACAAGTTGTTCATTAGTTGATAGTGCCTATCCGTTGACAGTCATTTCAGTAGTTGGAATGACCAGCACAGAATTAGTCTGAGATTTCCGCAGGTTTCTGAGTATTGGTGCTTTCTGGCTTATTTTGGTGAGATTTTCATGTTTTGAGTGCAATCGGTGTTCCCTGTCGGTGTCAAAGTCTCTATGCTGTGAAATGAGACAGGTTCTCATCAGGTTTCACCTCGCATACATCAATGAACGTACACACGAGAGTTCACATGTGAGAAGTCAAAGACGAGATACAATCAACACGTGTGGAAGCGGTCACCAAAATGATCAATACTAAACAAAGAAAGGTTTGTCTCCATTGGCTCTGCCGCACACACACACACACACACACACACACACACACACACACACACACACACACACACACACAGAACTGATCTCAACCGGATGACGGCTATGGCCTCTCTCTCTCTCTCTCTCTCTCTCTCTCTCTTTTCTCTGCAGTCTCGCTCTTCTCTCTGGCTTGTCTCGCCCTGCCTCACTCGCTGTCCCTGGATACACCCACTCAGGTAAGCTTCCTACTTGGTGGCTATGGTCTCTGGGCCCCTCCTCCTTCTACCTTAGCTATGGAGAGACCCCAAGCGCCTTCTCTCCCTCCAGGCGTGATGTGCCCAAGTTGCCTCAACGCACGAGCAGCAGCAGCGCTACAGCATCTCACAATTGAACGAGTGATGAGCCGCTTCACTGTAGCAGCCAAATATAGAGCTGGTCTTGGCTTGGCCTGCTTCAGACCGGTACTGGTCGGTTGCGACATGTCTTGTGTAATGATTTTCTAGGCCCGGTAGCTTCGGGACTTTCCTGGGACCTGCCGAAAGGATAGGACTTGGGACTGTACTGGACTGGACTGGACTTTTCTTGTCTGGTACCGGACTGACTTTTAGCAACCTGTGATGTTTCAGTGTCGACACTTGCCAACCTTCGCTTCAGCCCATGGACCCCACGACCTACCCCCTACTGGGACAGCCTGGAACCAGGACTCTTTGGGACCCTGGGACCGGAACTGGGGATGTCTGCAGCGTGAATCCTTTCACTCCTGCCGGCCTAATTTTGAGGTCCTCCAAGAAATTTACTGATTGTAGATGTTTAGTCCCCTGGGTGCTCTCTCCTAATAAGAAACAATGTGAGGGGCTGTCTGTACTAGTTCTTCCCTGGGGAACCAGTGATTTTCGCTGGGTTCTTGATGGGCAAACCTGACTTTGTACTGCCTCTGTGGCCTGTTATCCTGTCTACATCATAACTTCCATCTATATCAGGTGGGATCATGGATCAATGAGAGGGGAACTGATCGCTCGTGATGCAGGGAAGTAACTTAGAAGCGTGGAATACTGCTTAAGTGTGCAGGTCGGGCGGAATCTCGATAGTGTAGGATCGACCATCTGCTTCTCCCTTGCCATCTCACACTTGCCACTCGCCCCTATATGCGGGTAAGAGTGGCTGCGAGATCCCTTCCTCCAGAACGAACTCTTCTGATTTTACCCCGACTAAGTCACCTACTGCAAATTGCAATGGTCGCCGGTGTTTGTTGGCCTGTTCTACCATTTGATGCTGGGCTTTTTCGGATGTTCTTCTTCACCTGCTCTAAATCTTTCTCATATCGAATGGCAAACTTCCTGGCACCAGGTGGCAATCTTTGAATCTGATCTGGATTCAGGCAGTCAATCGGACGTTGGGGTTGCCAACCCTTGTGCAGTTCATTTGGGGTGCGTGCAGTAGACAGGTGCACCAGATTATTATACACAGACTGCACTTTAGGGAGATGCTTGTCCCAAT